ATCAGCGTAAATCGGACTGCATACATTTTCTAAAAATCGCACCTTTCACAGCCAAGGGGAGAGAACATTAGGGGGACTCCAATTCTCTAGGTTTTGAATCCTATTTACTTTTTGTCTTCTTCTTCATTTAATATGTTTAAATGACATCCTGTTGAAATAATTTAATGTGAGCTTCATTTTAAATATCACGTTTTAAAATATTAAGAACCATAACTAACACTAATCAAATAGTACACTATCAAAATCAATACTTAACTATTACAATTCAGAAGAGTAAAAATTTATAGTGGTAATTATTTTTGCAAACAAATGGAATACAAGATTTGGAAAATAATGAATCATTTCGTAAGTACAACTTCATAAAATTATTGAAGATTCCTTACCCTTTCCACAAATGACCCATTTCTATAACCACGCGAAACAAGCATGATTGGAGACTTTGCTTCTCCACATTTCCCCTCTCCATGTACATTTACTATGTTTTAATAGAAACCTGTTAAAACAATTTAATATCATTAGTTGTATGTTGTCGAAGCAATGGTAATTGAAATCCATCAATCACTAAATTGAAACGCATTCCACACAATCAAATAAAAATCGAATAAGAATTAGGGTTAAGTACCTTCAGGCGTTGTTTCCATTTACGGACTGCAAAAATGGTGGCACGTCGTCTTCTCGAAGAACGGACAAGATGAAGATCATAGAAATCAAGATGAAACGAGGCGGAAGTCCATAGATAAAAATTCCTTCTATACCTGTGATACATAGATAATATATTTTATAGGTGTGTTCAGTTATACTAATAACGAATTACCCCAACTACACATGTCCAGAGTTTATGTAATATTCCTATTAAAACAATTAAAACAACATTTAAATGTATAATTATGCGAATATTGAACAAAAAGTGAATTAACTACATCTCTTCAATAAAGAACCAGACATTAGTTTTAATAAAAATACACCAAAAAAGAAATCAAAAGTAAAATAGTATTTACTGCAATAATATAATTGAAAATAATTTTACCGTATTGTAAAATTATAATGTGAAAGCAGCAACGAATTTAGCTGTTATTGGAAACCAAGGAATTAAGAAAATAAACTAAAGAACATTCCATATGCAATTGTTCATGCACCAGTGTAAGTTGGATTGCATATAGATAATTGCCCAAAACTTTAAAACTAGTTTTCGCGCTTATAACGATGCTGGAATATAATTATTACTTATATTTTCTAGAACGATAACACAATAGTCTTGAAAATTACTTTTCAACAAAAAATAAAATATTCAACAATTATTTATAATTAAAGAGGCTNAGATTTCTCCACAATTTTCGGCTGCGTTTCTTTTTATTGAAAAATACCATAAAAATATAAGGATAAGTTCGCGCTCTAATTTGTCGACATGTAATACAATCATTATTCTGAGTATTAATTAACAAATTCCTGGACAATAATTTTAAATCTGACATAAAATCTTTTAAGTTAAAATATATCCCTTGATCCAGCAGGATCAGAATTTTATATCCTGCTAGACTACGGCTACACGTTCCGAATAATCTAAATATATCTTAATAATATTTGGTTTATTCTACTTAAACAACCAAGCCAGAATTCCATGGCATATCTAAACATTGTAACACTAGCCGCGAATGCTTACGTTGCTACTGATTGTGAGATATAATCATCATGAATGATGTGAGATCTAAACAATACGTAGAAAAGTAAAAAAATCAAATAAATACTTAAAATCTTAATAAACAATACAAAAGACTAGAGAATACTACTGCAAAGATAAAATCATAAATATTATTAATTTTTAAAAGCACGTGGTATACAAAAACAATTAAAAATTAAATTGACTCTAAGTACAATTTGATAATAAATAAAATGTAATAAAACGTGTTACATAAAAAACTAGTAGATGTATAATAAAAAAGCTAATCAGAGAGAAATTAACTTAAGTTTTGTTTTTTAGCATTCAGTTAAGTGTTGTAAAATTATTAACTTTTAAGTATTTTTTCTAAATTGGTTACATGGTCTGATTCCACATAGCAACGGTTTTTTATATAAAGACGGTTAAATAACATGCTTGTTTTTACGTATGTTCATTGAGTCTGGTACGCAGTGACCTTTTGGCTTGACCATTTACTAGTTTTAGGCAATTTTAAGGGTGTCATTTATATTGGTGCAGGAAACAAAATTATGAACTCTCTTAAACAACTTAATAGTTTTTATATTTTATGATTTACCAAAATATACGCACTTTTGTGTTAATTTAGTTCTTATGGGTACGCTTCTTTTCGTTCAAAAATACCATAAAAATATAAACTTAAGCAGGTACGCGCTCTAAATTTTCGACATATTTTACAATTATTATTCTGAGTATTAATTAACAAATTCCTGGGCAAAGGACTGTTTAATCCATCGGGATCGGACAAGCGGAGATTTATTTGTTATAAACTAAAATTTTAATGCTTAATTTCAGTATTGAATGTTTACGTTACCTAAAAAAAACGGAGTTTAAAGGTCTTTGTAAGAAAAAGACGTTATTAGGGATTGAGGCTGATCTTAGGCTGAAAGGGGCTACACCAATGACATTCCCTAAGGGGGCTAAAATAACGATTTTGATAGTACTTGGTAAATGATAGTTTTCAGAGGTGATAGAATGGATTGGTATTAAGGGTTTTTCTCAGTATGAAAACAATGGAATATTGAGTTTTGAAGGGATGGTGGGCACCCTTTGTTCCCCCTACGTACAACAGTAATCACGTGTTAATTTTATCTATCTAAATGATAAATTCATTATCGATAGCATACAGCAAATACTATAACAGCAATAATTTAACTGTAAAGGAAAATAGAAAACGATTTTCCTTACGAAAATAACTTCTTTACGTGAAATTCAATATAATCTTCTTACAAATCCTCAAATATAACGTTGTAATTATTAATTACTCAGTAATAGTTTTAACTTGTTCATGTTAAATTTGGTTGAAAAACCCACACATTTTTATTTTGAGCTATTAAAAAGTGATTTGCTGCTAAATATGAGTATTTAATTAATTTGTATTGCAAACTATTGGGTTGATAGCGAAAATAAGACATTCATTCAGATACTTAAACGTTATTAATAATTAACCAAAATTTTATTGGAAATTGTGGTGGAGGCGCCGGGGCAATTTAAAATAAGAACTATAATTGAGCTGAAATTCTGGGTTCAATGTAGTATTATGTTTAACTGTCACCCTTAAATTGCACTCCTTGCACTTGAACGGAGTTAGGGATTTTAATTTATACTTTTTAATCAATAAATTAAATTACAACTTGTAATGTGAGAGACAGGCAACCCAACATACAGCAAATACTGTAACAAGAATAATTTAACTGTAAAGGAAAATAGAAAACGATTTTTCATACGAAAATAACTTCTTTACGTGAAACTCAATACTATCTTCTTATTAATCCGCATATATTACGTTGAAATAATTAATTACTTATTAATATATTTAGCGACTTGTTCTTGTTATATATTTTTTCCTGCTTCGAGTTTAACTTTTCAGACTGGCACAAGGTTCAATTATTTTTGGCATTATTCCCAAGTGATTAAAATAAAAAGCTGCAGGCTTAGAACCCGTAGAAAGAAAGCTAGAGAGGTGTTCTTTCGGATGAACTAAAGATAGCACATGTATGATGCTGCATATTCTGCAGATTTTGAACACTGGCGGGGATGTTATAGAAATATTTTCATGTTTTCGAGATATGGAGATATTGCAGAATATTACGCATAAACTGGGTGGATAAAGGACTATAACGGACTCTAAATTCGAGCACCTTAATGGACGATTCGTCCCTGGACCACATCCTAATATATTAAAATCATCTAATTGTAATCGTTAATATCATATAACAACTTCCTCTAATGCTTCTTATAATCCGATAAGAAGGCTTGAGGTTCCAGTTATCGGGAATTAATTGACTTGCCTTTGTGTTTGTTTTTTTTTTGTCAATAAAAGGAATACGATTTTCATCAGCGAATTTTTTATCAAGACATCAGGCGAGTAATAAAATTAGAAATATCACTTAAATTAAATAGTTGTGCAACAGTTTGAAGAAGTTTAAGCCTTCAAGTCAATTATAAATAATCACATTCTTCTCCCAATTCATGCAAGAAATGTAATAAATCTAGATTTTTATTTAGTTCTGAATTAAATATTAGCGCAGTCATACAGCAAACGCAAACAGAACAATTTTTATCATAAAAGTGAAATTTGAGCATTTTCAGAGAAATGAATACTGTCAAGCTTTATTCAATATGATTACACCTGTAGAGTTAAAGTTATGTTAAGTGGTAGGAATTAGGGAATAGTCACAAGACTAAACACTTATGATTTTTGTAGCATAAATTATCCAATTTTTACATGACTACCGTTGAAGCAACGCTATACTGATAACAATATATTGCATCATAAAAGACAGGTTTATCTGGAGACAGGTTTATCATTATAAAAAATATTAGAAAAACACCTTAAAAAATTTCGGAGACTTTTTAGTCTTTGACACGTGTATAACGTAAAAAAACAGTAGAGATTTATAACTGTAATTCACGTTCTCACAGGATGATTAAAAAAAAAAAAATGTACAGATAAGGAAATAGTATCAGACCACAAAAAATACGGNAGTTAAAATATATCCCTTGATCCAGCAGGATCAGAATTTTATATCCTGCTAGACTACGGCTACACGTTCCGAATAATCTAAATATATCTTAATAATATTTGGTTTATTCTACTTAAACAACCAAGCCAGAATTCCATGGCATATCTAAACATTGTAACACTAGCCGCGAATGCTTACGTTGCTACTGATTGTGAGATATAATCATCATGAATGATGTGAGATCTAAACAATACGTAGAAAAGTAAAAAAATCAAATAAATACTTAAAATCTTAATAAACAATACAAAAGACTAGAGAATACTACTGCAAAGATAAAATCATAAATATTATTAATTTTTAAAAGCACGTGGTATACAAAAACAATTAAAAATTAAATTGACTCTAAGTACAATTTGATAATAAATAAAATGTAATAAAACGTGTTACATAAAAAACTAGTAGATGTATAATAAAAAAGCTAATCAGAGAGAAATTAACTTAAGTTTTGTTTTTTAGCATTCAGTTAAGTGTTGTAAAATTATTAACTTTTAAGTATTTTTTCTAAATTGGTTACATGGTCTGATTCCACATAGCAACGGTTTTTTATATAAAGACGGTTAAATAACATGCTTGTTTTTACGTATGTTCATTGAGTCTGGTACGCAGTGACCTTTTGGCTTGACCATTTACTAGTTTTAGGCAATTTTAAGGGTGTCATTTATATTGGTGCAGGAAACAAAATTATGAACTCTCTTAAACAACTTAATAGTTTTTATATTTTATGATTTACCAAAATATACGCACTTTTGTGTTAATTTAGTTCTTATGGGTACGCTTCTTTTCGTTCAAAAATACCATAAAAATATAAACTTAAGCAGGTACGCGCTCTAAGTTTTCGACATATTTTACAATTATTATTCTGAGTATTAATTAACAAATTCCTGGGCAAAGGACTGTTTAATCCATCGGGATCGGACAAGCGGAGATTTATTTGTTATAAACTAAAATTTTAATGCTTAATTTCAGTATTGAATGTTTACGTTACCTAAAAAAAACGGAGTTTAAAGGTCTTTGTAAGAAAAAGACGTTATTAGGGATTGAGGCTGATCTTAGGCTGAAAGGGGCTACACCAATGACATTCCCTAAGGGGGCTAAAATAACGATTTTGATAGTACTTGGTAAATGATAGTTTTCAGAGGTGATAGAATGGATTGGTATTAAGGGTTTTTCTCAGTATGAAAACAATGGAATATTGAGTTTTGAAGGGATGGTGGGCACCCTTTGTTCCTCCTACGTACAACAGTAATCACGTGTTAATTTTATCTATCTAAATGATAAATTCATTATCGATAGTGATAGGTATAAATACCCAAGCTCTGTTACTGTGCAATTATAAATAATTATTCATTCATAATCTGTAATTGTACCATTTATCTTTCTTCCTATTTGGGATAGTAATCCTGTTGTAAATATAATACAATTGTTTAAACGTATGTAAATCAAAACATTAATTTTGATAGGTATACTTAAAAAAAGATTCTTGGTGATAGATTCGAAGGTAAGCTTTTTTTTGTTACATAAGTATATGTTGTCCGATAGAAGAAACAGATTCTTCACTTAGGAAATTATGAAACATATTCGAAACACAGTAAAAGGAACAAAACTTTTTTAAATGTTTCAACGGTACTCAATGTCTTATAGAAATAACAAACTTTTTACCTTTCAGCCACCGTCCAAAGCAAAAAATCAGCAATCAATTTAAGTACCTAAATACGTAAGACTTTCATTACCATTATGAAGTTGTATTTAAAAGTGTTGCTTGGATTAGCAATAGTAGTTGCGACAGTTTTCACACAAAATAACAACTGCACCCTGACGGGCAATTCGTTGGACAATCTTATCGCTATTCAGCGACAATGCACTGAGATTGTAATAGAAAATTTCACAGTGCCTGCAAATCGAACTTTATTATTAAGAAGACTTCAGAATGGTACTAGAATAATATTCAGAGGAACCATAAGATTCGAATACGAAGAATGGGATGGAGATCTCATTGTGGTCTCAGGCTCAAACATTACTGTCATTGGAGATCCTGGACACCTATTCAATTGCCATGGTGAAAGGTGGTGGGACGGATTTGGTGGAAATGGTGGCAAATTAAAGCCGAAATTTTTCCGCACGACCAACTTAAACTATTCCACTGTCACAGGGTTGAGAGTAAAAAATACCCCGAAACAAGTTTTTTCCGTTAACCGCTGCAATCACGTCGTGTTTTCGAACATCATAATAGATAATGTGGACGGGGATTCAAGGGGTGGGCACAATACTGATGGATTTGATTTGAACGAAAACAAAGATATAACGATTCAAAACAGTCAAATTGTCAATCAAGACGATTGTTTCGCGATTGGTTCGGGAACAAATTGTAATTTTTTTCACAACCACTGTTCCGGTGGTCATGGAATATCCATCGGTTCAGTTGGTGGCCGCAGAAACAACGTGGTCCGAAATGTTCACGTTAAAAATTGCAGTGTGGTAGATTCGGAAAACGGAATTCGGATTAAAACCATTGTTAACGCAACAGGCCAAGTACGTGACATCAAGTACGAAGGTATAACTATGAGAAATATTACCAATTTTGGTATATTGGTACGAGGCGACTATTTGAATGGCGGACCCACTGGACATCCTACAGCGGGAGTCCCTATTACAAACTTAACTCTTGACAATGTTCGCGGTTGGGTACGACAATATGCAGTCAACGTCTACGTGCTTCTTGCAGACGGTGTAGCCTCAGGCTGGAAATGGACCAACGTTAGTATTACAGGCAGCACATTAAACAACTTCACCTGTACTGGAGTCCCACCAAATTCAGGAGTTAAATGTTAAACAAAATTACATTATACTTATACGTATATGTATAAATAGCAAATAAATATTTTTTGAATGTTTCAAAATACGATCCACGCTTGACTTTTTTAATAGAATTTTACTAAGAATTTTATCTTATGCCTTTAGGGTACATTACACAATCATTCTAATCGTTCGGAGGTACGAAAAATTATGAAGGAATATACACAGATTCCAGTGGTGACCAGGGCTTTTGGGCGCGGTTTGAGATAAACAAATATAACCATGTTATTTACAAAAACCACCCCTAAAAACTGAACGTGAAAACCCGTACGATAATTCTCGACTTGTTCTGGAATTATTCTTTATCTTCCGAGGAATGAAAACTATTTAAGAATAAATGTAGATATATGCGCTCCTTGAGATAATGAAATATAACAACTTTTTTTGTGAGAAGATCGCTCTTAAAACTGAATTCAAATAGCACATGTCAATTTTCGGCTTGTTCCACAATCATTCCAAACGTCCCAATAATTAATACTATGTACAAATGGACCTCATTTTCAATCTGCTACAAAATTATTATGAGAGTTGTAAGGGATTAAAAATATGCAGAGAAATATGTGAAATTTAGAGTTCTCCACAATTTTTGGTTGCGTTTCTTTTTATTGAAAAATACCATAAAAATATAAGCATAAGTTCGCGCTCTAATTTGTCGACATGTAATACAATCATTATTCTGAGTATTAATTAACAAATTCCTGGACAATAATTTTAAATCTGACATAAAATCTTTTAAGTTAAAATATATCCCTTGATCCAGCAGGATCAGAATTTTATATCCTGCTAGACTACGGCTACACGTTCCGAATAATCTAAATATATCTTAATAATATTTGGTTTATTCTACTTAAACAACCAAGCCAGAATTCCATGGCATATCTAAACATTGTAACACTAGCCGCGAATGCTTACGTTGCTACTGATTGTGAGATATAATCATCATGAATGATGTGAGATCTAAACAATACGTAGAAAAGTAAAAAAATCAAATAAATACTTAAAATCTTAATAAACAATACAAAAGACTAGAGAATACTACTGCAAAGATAAAATCATAAATATTATTAATTTTTAAAAGCACGTGGTATACAAAAACAATTAAAAATTAAATTGACTCTAAGTACAATTTGATAATAAATAAAATGTAATAAAACGTGTTACATAAAAAACTAGTAGATGTATAATAAAAAAGCTAATCAGAGAGAAATTAACTTAAGTTTTGTTTTTTAGCATTCAGTTAAGTGTTGTAAAATTATTAACTTTTAAGTATTTTTTCTAAATTGGTTACATGGTCTGATTCCACATAGCAACGGTTTTTTATATAAAGACGGTTAAATAACATGCTTGTTTTTACGTATGTTCATTGAGTCTGGTACGCAGTGACCTTTTGGCTTGACCATTTACTAGTTTTAGGCAATTTTAAGGGTGTCATTTATATTGGTGCAGGAAACAAAATTATGAACTCTCTTAAACAACTTAATAGTTTTTATATTTTATGATTTATCAAAATATACGCACTTTTGTGTTAATTTAGTTCTTATGGGTACGCTTCTTTTCGTTCAAAAATACCATAAAAATATAAACTTAAGCAGGTACGCGCTCTAAATTTTCGACATATTTTACAATTATTATTCTGAGTATTAATTAACAAATTCCTGGGCAAAGGACTGTTTAATCCATCGGGATCGGACAAGCGGAGATTTATTTGTTATAAACTAAAATTTTAATGCTTAATTTCAGTATTGAATGTTTACGTTACCTAAAAAAAACGGAGTTTAAAGGTCTTTGTAAGAAAAAGACGTTATTAGGGATTGAGGCTGATNAGTGGTACTACAATAATTTTTAAAGGAATCATAAGATTTGACTACGCAGAATGGGAAGACGATCTCATTGTGGTCTCAGGCTCAAACATCACTGTCATAGGAGAACCTGGACATCAATTCGATTGTCATGGTGAAAGGTGGTGGGACGGAAAAGGTGGAAATGGTGGCAAACTAAAACCGAAATTTTTCCGCACGACCGACTTAAGCGATTCGTCTATCATAGGGCTGAATGTTAGAAATACCCCGAAACAGGTTTTTTCCGTTAACCACTGTAATCATGTCGTGTTTTCGGACATCATAATAGATAATGTGGACGGGGATACAAGGGGTGGGCATAATACTGATGGTTTTGATTTGAACGAAAATAATGATATAACGATTCAAAACAGTCAAATTTTTAATCAAGACGATTGTTTCGCGATCGGTTCGGGAACAAATTGTAATTTTTTTTACAACTACTGTTCCGGTGGTCATGGAATATCCATCGGTTCAGTTGGTGGCCGCAGAAGCAACGTAGTGCAAAATGTTCACGTTAAAAATTGCACTGTGGTAAACTCGGTAAACGGAATTCGGATTAAAACGATTGTTAACGCAACAGGCCAAGTACTTGACATCAAGTATGAAGGTATAATTTTGGAAAACATTACTAATTATGGTATAGTGGTACGAGGCGACTATCTGAATGGCGGACCCACTGGGCATCCCTCAAGGGGAGTTCCTATTAGAAATTTTACTCTGGATAATGTTCACGGCTGGGTACAACAACGTGCTGTCAATGTCTTCGTACTTCTTGCAGAAGGTGTAGCGTCAGATTGGAAATGGACAGATGTCAAAGTCACAGGCAGCAGACGTAGCAACATCTCGTGTACTGGAGTCCCACCAAATTCAGGAGTTCAATGTTAAACAAAATTATATTATACTTATACGTATATGTATAAATAGCAAATAAATATTTTCTGAATGTTTCAAAATACGATCCACGCTTGACTTTTTAAATAGAATGTTTACGAAGTATTTAATCCTATGCCTTCAAGGTACATTACAAAATTATTCTAAACTTTCCGGGGTACGAAAACCATGAAAGAATATATACAGATTCCAGTGGTGACAAGAGTTTTTGGGTGCGGTTTGAGATAAACAAATATTACCATGTCAGAACAAAGGCTTTCACGCCCGGAATTCATAGTAGAATGAAGATTCGGGCTATAGGGTCGTGGTTTAAGTGAACTATTCTGTCTAGACGTTTCGTCAGCTACTGCGGCTGACATCCTCAGTGGTAGTGCTGCGTTGACCACGGCCCTATAGCCCGAATCTTCATTCTACCATAACCATGTTATTTACAAACAGCGCCCCTACATACAGAACGTGAAAAGCCGCACGTCAATTTTCGGCTTGTTCTGGAATTATTCTTTACCTTCCGAAGAATGAAAACCATGTAAAAATATATGTACATTTCAATAGTGGCATCAGTTATAGCGTGCTGATTGAGATAAAGAAATATAACAACTTTTTTTATGTAAAGATCGCTCTTAAAACTGAACTCAAACAGCACACGTCAATTTTCGGCTTGTTCCACAATCATTCTAAACGTTCCAATCATGAAGACGATGTACAAATGGATCTCATTTTCAATCTCCTATAAAATTATTATGAGCGTTGTAAGGGATTAAAAATATGCAGGGAAATATGTGAAATTTAGAGTTCTCCACAATTTGTGGCTGCGTTTCTTTTTATTGAAAAACAACATAAAAATATAAACATAAGTGCGCGTTCTAAGTTGTCAACCTGTTACATAATTATTATTCTGAATATTAATTAACAAATTCCTGGGCAAAGAAACCGATTAATCCGTCGGGATCAGACAAGCGGACATTTATTTGTTTTAGACTAAAATTTCAATTATTAATTTAAGTATTGAATCTTTACGTAAACTTGCTTGTCTTAAAAAAAAACGGAGTTTAATGATCTCTGTAAAAAAAGAGATCATTGAGGATTGTCTAATCGTAAATTGAATTTTAAACATTTTTCAAAGGCTGAGCGGGGCTACACCAATGACATTTGCTAAGGCGGATACCAGCTAACTGATCAGCTACCGTGATGATTTTGGTAATACTTGGTAAATGGTGGTTCTTGGAGGTGATAAAATAAATTGGTACTAAAGGTTTTTCTCAGAATAAAAACAATGGAATGTTTTTGATTTATTTTCCCCTCAATTAAGCCCGTGTAAATTTTATCTACCTAATTGATACATTAATTATCGATAGTGATGCCTATAAATACTCAAGCTCTGTTACTGTGTTATTATAAACAATTAATCATTCATAATCCGTAATTGTGACTTCTTTATTTCTATTTGGGATAGTAATCCACTTGCAAAAATTTTTAAAATTTTTATACGTATGTAAATCCAACATCATCTGCTGAACATACTTTCGAACATCTCNGTCCTACAAATTGATCATAAAATTTTCCGAGTATGAAAACTACGAAAGAATGTGCATATGTAGGTTGTGTGCACATAGATGTATTATATAAAAAAAGAAAATAAAAGGTTTTTGAATTATTGCTAGTTTGATTAGTTGGAACTCAACAAAGGTTTAACTTCCCGAAACACGTAGAGTTCTACTAATTTAACTTTCAAATACTTAAAGTATTTTCTTTTGTTTATTTTGTACTGGATGTCTGATAGAAGTAACAAAGTTTTTACCTTTCAGCACTTACACTGAACATCGCCACCGTCCAAAGCAAAAAATCAGCAATCAATTTACCTAAATACGTAAGACTTTCATTACCATTATGAAGTTATATTTGAAAGTGTTGGTTGGATTAGCAATAGTAGTTGCGACAGTTTTCACACAAAATAATAACTGCACCCTGACGGGCAATTCCTTGAACAATCTTAACTCTATTCAGCGACAATGCACTGAGATTGTAATAGAAAATTTCACAGTGCCTGCAAATCGAACTTTATTATTAAGATCACTTCGAAGTGGTACTACAATAACTTTCAAAGGAATCATAAGATTTGAATATGCAGAATGGGAAGACGATCTTATTGTGGTCTCAGGCTCAAACATCACTGTCATAGGAGAACCTGGACATCAATTCGATTGTCATGGCGAAAGGTGGTGGGATGGACAAGGTGGAAATGGTGGCAAATCAAAACCGAAATTTTTCCGCACGACCAACTTAAATTATTCAACTGTCACAGGGTTGAACGTAAGAAATACCCCGAAACATGTTTTTTCCGTTACCCACTGCAATCATGTCGTGTTTTCGAACATCATAATAGATAATTTGGACGGGGATTCAAGGGGTGGGCATAATACTGACGGATTTGATTTGAACGAAAATAATGATATAACGATTCAAAACAGTCAAATTTTTAATCAAGACGATTGTTTCGCGATCGGTTCGGGAACAAATTGCAACTTTTTTCACAACCACTGTTCCGGTGGTCATGGAATATCCATCGGTTCCGTTGGTGGCCGCAGAAACAACGTGGTCCAAAATGTTCACGTTAAAAATTGCACTGTGGTTAATTCGGAAAACGGAATTCGGATTAAAACCATTGTTAACGCAACAGGCCAAGTACTTGACATCAAGTATGAAGATATAACTATGAGAAATATTACCAATTTTGGTATAGTGGTACGAGGCGACTATCGAAATGGCGGACCCACTGGGCGTCCCTCAAGGGGATTTACTATTAGAAATTTTACGTTGGATAATATTTATGGCAGGGTACAACAACGTGCTGTCAATGTCTTCGTACTTCTTGCAGAAGGTGTAGCCTCAGATTGGAAATGGACAGATGTCGATGTCACAGGCAGCAGACGTAGCAACATCTCGTGTACTGGAGTCCCACCAAATTCAGGAGTTCAATGTTAAACAATATTATATTATACTTGTACATATATGTATAAATAGTAAATAAATATTTTATGAATGTTTTAAAATACGATCCACGCTCGATTTTTTTAATGGAATGTTTACGAAGAATTTAGTCTCATGCCTTCAAGGTACATTACATAATTATTCTAAACTTCCGAGGTACGAAAACCATGAAAGAATATATACAGATCCCAATAGTAACAAGAGTTTTTGGGTGCGGTTTGGGATAAACAAGTATAACTATGTTATTTACAAGAACCACCTGTACAAACTGAACGTGAAAACGCACACGTTAATTTTTGACTGGCTGTGGCACTAAGCCTCCAAGGGACAAGAACAATGTATGAATATATGCAGATTTCGCTGGTTGTATCAGTTTTTGGGTACGGCTTCAGATATATTCCAACATAATTATGTTATTTACAAAAACCGATATAAAAACTGAATATAAAAACGTGCATCTCAATTTTCGGCCTGTTATGGAATTATTCTTTACTTTCCGAGGAATGAAAACTATGTATGAATATATGTAAATTTCACTGGTGGTATCATTTTCTGGCTACACCAATGACATTTGCTAAGGGGGTACCCTGCCATCTGATCAGCTACAGTAACAATTTAGGTAATACAGTAAAAGCTTTTTATTCGCAGGGTATACGTTTCATAAATATATTGCGAATACAGAAACCGTGGATATGGAATGGTAGTTGGTGTTGGAATTGTAGGGGATAAGTTCTAAGGTTTCAAAATAACATCCATATGTTTCAGAATAAAATCAATTTATTAAGAAATTCGCAATTAAAGTCAATCGTTATTTAGGTTTATAAGTTTTAGGCAAGGGTTTAAAAAATTTAGTTTTTTTTTTGTTTTGATATTTGAAATTAGTCCACTCGATTACATCTTCTATAAAAGTCGGCTCGGTACGAACCAACAGTACTCAAAAGATGCCGATACGTTAAAAAATAACACCGAATCCTTTTCTATTTACTCGATTACATCTTTTATAAAAACTGCCTCGGCACGTACCAACAGTATACATACTCAAAAGATGCCGATACATTAAGGAGATTCAATAGTACACGCGCCGTGGAGTAAAACATGCTTATCGGTTCTAGATATCATGAGTTTAATATTTGGAACAAAGGTTTGAAATTTTGTAGTAATATAGATAAAGCTTTGTTCTAAAGCCTGTAGAAGAAAATTTTTTAATTTCTATTGAAAATAGGTGTCCTACAAGAAGCGGCGATTTTAAGCACTTGTAGAAGCTTTTAATCACCATATTATTGAAAACCAAAAACGTACCGAGTTAGTGCGAATCTTTGTTACCATACAAAAAATCACTTACATATATCGCAGCGTTAAATCACAATATTTAGAATAGGAACCCATGTTTTCGGAAAAATTCATACTAGGCA